CACCTAGTATGGAAGATAGACATTAAAAGGTTATGACTAAAGTCCTAAGTGAAGCCAAAAGATCACTTTATTTCAGACTTCATTTTCTTAGATCCATATGCAGGGAGGAATTACGGCCTCAGGATCCCATGGCACAGTAGGATAAGCTCCACAACAGATGTGAAGCTCTGATCTGTTCTCTCCTCATATTACAGATGAAAACCTAAAGTCCAGAGGACTTAACTAGCTGGTCAGTAGCCTTAGGACTGGACAATAGGATGTTTAGAAAATAGAACCACAAGCGCCTTCTAAGAGGGATGGATCCTGTTAAATGTAAAACTGGTTCCCATCTGATCTCCTGAGTAGATTCAGATATGTAAATTTGAGCAGATAGTAGGTAATCAAAAAATACATTGAATGCTTAATTTTTTTAAAATTACAGTTAAAAGACACGTTGCCAATAATAATGTCGTGTGTTCAAAGCAGGAAGGGCATATTTGGGTATTTTAAGGGGATTAATGGATATGTCTTTTACTGTAATAAATCTTTTAATTTAAACATTCACCATATTTTTTGAACACTCATCATTAAGCAAACATTTACAGCAATTTCTGTCAAATAAAAACATTGTAGTGTGTTCTCATCCACCTTATTCAGTGGATCTCGTCCTATGCAACTGCTGGCTCTTTCTCAAAGTCAAAATGACCATATGTAAATGTTTTGGATCCATTCAAGATATCCAGGCAGTCACAACAGTGCAAGTAAAGACACTCCTGAAAGAAGTCTTCCAACACTGTCTCAGACAGTGGCAAGAACAGTGGGATGAGTGTGTTGAAACTGAGAGGGAGTCCTTTGAGTGGGATTAATGACCATGCGTCTACTACTGTAGTGAATTTTTAAATTCACTTTTAATTCATCTTTTTAATTCATTCATTTCCCCTCCTAAGAGAGTGTGCCTCTTGGAGTTGTCTCAGGGAGAGTAGAATGAAGGAAAAGGCAGGTAGCCTGAGGAGACCGAACTGCTGGCACTCAGAGTCATCAGCAGAGCAGAAAATGCTGCCTGCCATAGATCAACAGTGGGAACTGGGGAAGGGATGTTGTTTCAAATCTAGCTTCAGCAACAGTTGGCAGGTTGCATATAAAGGAGTTAAGGATACAAGGGCCACAAAACAGCATACCTCCCATAATGGGCAGGCATAGGGAGGAAGTACTGTTTCCATGGTTCATGGAACTGAGGATTCAAGATGAGTTTATAGTTACGCAGATTTTTGTGTAAAAGGAAAAGCTTACATTATTAGTCAAATGATTCTAGTTTGTGACACAATTTGAGCTAAACACAGGTCATTTGATTCCTGGGTCAATCCCTCTTTACATAGTCATGATTAGTCAATACATAGTCCTCACAAGGATAAGGGATGGCTACCAACCAAGATAGCTCAGAGCCCAGACACCAGAGCAAGGAGCTGTCACATGGGAATTAATTCTGGATTCTAATGGTCTCTTTCTTCCGTTCTAATTCTTTCTTCATTTTCTTAATCTCATTTATGCATTATAGTGGATCCTTGACTTATGAACTCAATTCATTCACAAGGGCTGGTTGTAACTGGGTTGTAAGTCAAGACTACTTTTCCCGTAAGAAATAATGAAAATACCCATAATATGTTCTGAACCTCCCAAACACCCCTTAACTAATCTTTTCATAATTAGAAAAAAGGTTTGTATAATGTGCATAATTTACCAGAAACACCAATAATTTTCCTTGTATTCACCAAAAGTTATATAATGTTCCTAATTTATCAGAAACAATTTCATACTGCATACTCACCACTCAAGTTGACATCTTTGGCTTGCAGGAAGGGAGAATGAAATGGAAGGTGGTTATTGTTTGGAAGCGGAGTCCCCTTCCATGAGAACATCAGGAACCTGGCTTTCTGGTGTCCTTTCTCTCCTTGGGAGAGTCTGTGGCCCACCAAGACCTGCTTCTGGCTCATTAGGGCTCAAGATTTTCAGAACTAAAAACTGGTTTAATGTTGTCTGTTCCTGTCTTTTCTTTAACACTGCTCTGTAGTATGACATGCCATTGTCATTAAACAAGTGAATGCAATGATTGGCTTTTTCTCTCTCTGGGTGGGACTTTTCCACAAATGTTTGTAGCTTGGTCCATTTTTTTCAGGATTTCATTTATTTCAGAAAAAAAAACTTTGCTGCATTGATTGTTGATGTTCCCCCATCCTCTGCAGAAAGCTCCTCAGCTGCCATTCTCTTTTTCTCAGGCAGAGCTGCTAAAGTTCCTCTATAGACAATTCCTCTGAGTGTTCCTCCACCAGTTCCTCAACATCACCACTATCTACCTGCAAGTCTGTAGTTCTGCTATAGGGACAATGTCATCAACCACAGGGTCAACTGAGGGCTCAGGATCCTCTACACAGCCTTCAAAGTCTCTCTCCTGTGTAATTCTGGGCCATACTTTCTTCCAGGTAAAACTCAGTACCCTTAGAAAGACATTGGCCTTGGATTTCTCAATTAACCCCTCACAGGAAAGCATGATATTATGTTCCTCCCAGAACTCTTTAATGGTTAGATCTGTATCTGAGACAACCTGGGAGCACTTCAGGATCAATTCCTTGGTGTATAGCTTCTTAAAGTTAGCCATAACCTGCTGGTCCATAGGCTGCAGTAGAGAAGTTGTATGAGGTGGGAGGAACTCCACTGAGAGCCATGGGGATTCTTCAGCCAATTCTCCTTCCAAATCTTGTGGATGAGTAGGAGCACTTTCCATGAAGAGCAGAGCCTTGAATAGTAAGCCTTTGTCCTTGAGATACTTAACAGTAGGAAAGAAAGCCTCCCTGATCTACTCAAGGAAAAGTGCTCTTATGCTCTTATTAACCAGGCTTTTGCCTTAGATCTCCACATGACCCCTAGCCTATTCTTCATGACCTTATGTTTCCTGAACATTCCAGGGGTCTCAGAGTGATAAACCAAGAGAGGATTTATCTTGAGGTCACCTCTCACATTGGCACATAGCAATAAACTTAGCTTATCCTTCATAGCCTTGTGGCCTGGCATCTTCTTCTCTTCTGGGGTAATGTATGTTGTGGGCACTTTTTCCAGAAAAGGCCCATTTCATTACAGCTGAAAACTTGATGAGAGCAAAAGCCATTTCTCTATGTCATCATTTCAAAGTAGGGTATGTAATTTTCAATAGCCCTTTTGGCAGCATAACTGGCTGCTTCACCATGCCTCATTATACTATGAATCCCAGTTCTCACTTTAACATTATGACACCATCCCTTACTGGCATGAAATGTTTCACCATTATCATTTGTTGATGGCTTATCTTTTACAAGGTCACCAATTATAGCCCCAGCTTTTTCACAAATTATAGACCCAGATAGGCTATATAACCAGCCATGTGCTTTTTGTTCATCCACACTAATAATATCCTTTCTACCACATCAAACACCATTAATTGTAACTTACTAATTTAAGTAACACCTTTAGCAACACTAGCTTCCTTATACAAATCTTTTCTCTTGAGGATTGTTGAGATGGTGGTGGGTTTTGACATGTTGTACATATTAGCAAGGTCAGTCCCATGAATTCCACTCTTATATTTCTCTACAATTTTTTTCTTCTTTTCAGTTGTGATTACTTTCTTTACCTTCCCTCCCTTCCTTAACTTCTTTTTTAGCTTTCTGAGGGCCATGTTGATAGCAGTAATCATAGCGATTATATAAAGCACTGACTAAAATCACATCTACAAACAGATGCATCTGAGTTCAGATTGACACTTACATATGCTTACTTACACTTTTCTGGCATTAGGAGTCTTTGTTTACAACCGCACAAGTGGCCAGCATTTGGTTCATAACTCAAGATGTTGGTCATAAATGAAACCTAAAATTCCAGTAGTAACCCAAGCTTTTCATATGGGAGGCCAGTAGTAACTTGAGGGTCCACTGTACTTTTATTACTGCCCAATCAGAAAACTAAGGTCTATATATTACTCTGTCTCTGAGTTTAGAAAACAACTAAATGTTTAGATCTAAAATGTCCCCCAAAAGACTCATGTATGCCAGCCCAGTCTCTAGTGCAGCAGTACTCAGAAGTGGCGCTATAGGAAGTGATTAGATCATCAGGACTCTGACCTCATCAATAGATTACTTCCCTGATAGATTTATGATCTGATATCACTAGGTGGTGAAAACTTTAGGAGGTGGGGTTGAGGGGGAAGGAAGTGGGTCACTGAGAGCCTACACTGGAAGGGTACATATTATCCCTGCTCTTCCTCTCACCCTGCTTTTCAGCCACCATCAGATGAGCAGTCTGCTCCACAAGCTCTGTGACCATAGCATTTCGCGTTACCATAGACCCATCCTCAGAGACAGGGCCAAGAGACCATGGACTGATACTTCAGAAGCAGTGATCCAAACTAAACCTCTCCTCCTTTAAATTGGTATAAGGGGTATTTTGTGAAAGCAACCGAAAGCTAACACATAGTTCCACAGGGTTTAAAAAGAAAGCCTTGAAATTATTCTTAGGAGAAGGTATCAGTAACAACCGAAGGTTGGGCTCTGTTGTGACACGGCAGTGTAATGCATGGAATGGAAAGATAGGGATATTTTTGTTCACGGATGCAACCATGAAAAAATAATTACTTATTTCTCCACAGTGAACATATTATCATTCCATATTTTCTTTCACATAGGGAAGGTCTTTTTTTTTAATCTCATTACTTTTCTTCTACACTGATGCTTGCCCATCATAACAGCAGTGATTTTCCTTTATCTGCCACCATATTAAAATGACCATATGGGGCTGGGGATTTAGCTCAGCGGCAAAAGCGCCTGCCTGGCAAGCGCAAGGTTGTGAGTTCGGTTCCCGGTACCGGAGAAAAACCAAAAAATAAAATAAAATAAAATGACCATAGCCAGTGACATTAGAGGAATCAAGAAGAAACCTAAGACAGAGAGCTGGTTCTTCCTTTTTAACGTGCATTTGCTTCATATTTTTTATCTTACCTTGAGCTTGACCAAAAGAAGTTCATGGTCATGAAGCAGTTTTTTGGCTTCATCTTGAGTGCTGCCAATTTCTAGAAGATTGGGCTGTGATTCAGCCAGCTGAAACTGGACCCATTTGCCACACTGACAATAAAAATGAAATGAAATGCACTTTTAGTTCCTCTTGTTCCTTCCTCTTTAATTTTTTTCTTTTTAATTTTATTTTTTAACTTCCAGTTATACCATGAACATTTTTTCTTTCCATAGAGCTGGGCCTTACTTAAGCTGGAACATAACAAGTCTACTATAAATCCTTGCCCTGCTTGCTTTATTCTTATGATAAATTCTTCTCTCTGGCATATTGGATTTGACTTTTTAAAATTCCTAAATAAGGAACATGTACAGTGGATTGTGTATTATTGAATACTACAAAGTTAAATAATAAAAACTGTAACTCCATAAAAATAGTGAAATTCCAGAAGGGCAAAGTAGTATCCAGACTTCACCTTGGATCAGACAGGGTTTCTATCTTTCCACTCTGAAGAGCTTAGAGTGTATTTTATTTTTTTTAAGAAATAAAAGAAGGAAAACATATTAACAAACAGACATCCATTTACAAAATAGCATAAGAACAATACAAACAAAACAGAGTTACAGACAAAGTTGTAGGAAATTAACAATTGTTGTTATATTACTTATTGATAGGAAATTAACAATTGTTATATCACTTATTGATATCTTCTTACAATTGATATCTTGATATCTTCAAAGTGGTTTCTCAAGAAAACAAACAGAGACATACAAGAGTGAATAAAAACTAGGAGGTATGATAGACATTGTTGGAGTGTATTTTCTTTGGACAAGGCAATAAGGTAAACGGGCTGGGGAGGAGGCAATAAGGGAACATTCTTACAAACAAAATTCAGTTAAAATAAGAGTTTCCAGTATAACTTAAAAGTTATTTTCTTAGGTTCAGTGTACCTTTGATTTTTTTTCATAAATGAGAAGAATATTATTCTTCATCCTGCTCTAAGAATGTTTCGTGTTTGAGGGAAAAGTTAACTTTTTTTAAACAATAAATTTGCCCCTCTCCCCTCACTGTTGAAATGAGTAGTGGCTCAGAGCACCGTTAAACCATTTGCAAAAGATCAGTTCTCACTGCTGCTGCCTCAGATTTTTCATCTCCATTCACCTCCTTTGAAATGATTAGGGGGCAAGGGAGTCAGCAGAGGTCCTATTTATTTGGGGGACAGATCTCAACAGCACTGACAAGTTGTCCTCAGTAGAAACATTTTTGCTTTCTGTGTTCTGCGCTTCCACAGTGAATGGTTTTGTTCAATGTCCAGTTCTGAGTTGCTGTTACACATTTTCACAATGCCCTAAAATTTGCAGCAATTACATGAAGCAGGCCTTATTGTTGTTGCTTTAATAAAAGGCCAGAGAAGCCAGCCAGGTAAGCCTGCTGGGGTCCTAAAAGAAGCTGGCTGCTGAAAAGCAGCTTGTTTGCCAGGTTTCCTTTCATTAAACACTACATGCTTTAGGTGGTAAATTGCATAAAGCCCAAGTGTAATGCTTCAGCGGTTTTCATGGGGAATGAAAACACAGATTTCTTCTTCAACCTAGTGATGTGTGGTCATCTTTGCAAATGAGCAAATGGCTGGACATAAAACACGGACTTAAGCCCCAAGTGCCTTCAGCATTGTGTTGTTACAAACAAATTTGACACACGCTGTTTACAACGTTCAGTGGCAGGGTCTTCATTCCCCACGAATGGCTGAAGGATTTAGGCAGTGCCCTTACCACATCCAAACCACGGCTGCATGGGCACAGGCCAGAGCCTCTCCCTAGGTGTTCCCTGTGCTCTTCGTGCTCAAAACAGTGCCACCCTCTGACCTGCCTGCTCTGACCCCATCACTTCAACTGTCAAGAATCACAAGTGTTGCACAGCCCCCGAGCATTTCCACATTTCCACTAGCAGTCACAACCCTCTAATCACACATTCCTTGCTTTTAAAGACTACATTGAAAATTTGCTATCAAACTGCTGTAAGTGCTTTCTGGCTAACTAAAAAGGAAAGAGAAAATTCCAGGAACTGGCTAAAACTTAGTAGAAGCTCCTCTTAGTTGCCGATTTAAGAACGGTCTTAAGAAGAACACTTACCTTTATCTTGCGTGTGCTATGTCCTGCTGACTGAGTGCAGTATTCCTTTTAGTTATCAACACATCCAAGAAGCCCGCAACCACAGAGGAAAAAGGAAAGTTGTTAACTTACCTTTATGACAGCTATCACGATTTTAGAGTCTCCAGCCTGCACAGCTACTGAGCAGACAGTGGTGGTGGAAAACTCTGCACCAGGACTTCCTTGGACAGACATGGTCTTTTAGAAGGAGAGCTTTACCTGGAGCAGCCTCTGCACCAAAGCGAGTCTGCTCGCTGGTCATTTCAGAAGACAACCACCAGGGTTACTTGGATTCATTCAGGCAGAGAGCTCTGCTAGCACTGATTACTCTGCCAAAAGGAAAGAACAGGAGGTTAAAAATAGACAACCTCATTGAGTTTATCATGAGAGAGAGAGGAGAGCGAACAAAGAGCCACACCCCTAGTATGGTAACACTGAAAGGCTGTTATTTTTGCCGTTATCTGAAAGGAGACCAGCTTCGAGCCCTTTGCCTATCAGCTGATGATTGATAGCTAATGGAAAAAAAAACTACATCCTGACAACCCAAATTAGTTTTGCCATTGAAACTAAACAGTTGTAGCTACGGACTTTGAAACCAGAAAGTCATTGACCTGAACATTAAACTTTTCAAGGTTTTTTTTCTAATCTCCCTCATGCTAAGAAAATCACCAAAAATGTACTTTTTAAAAAGTTCTGGTATTTGTTTGAGGGCAAAGTCACTAAGTTGCTTGAAAAATTTTTTTAGATTAATCTGCTTTTCAAAAACTTACCGCCCTTTGCCAAATGACATTTATGTGGAACGGCCACATCTTTTCAATGCCGCAAATGTCTTAGGGACATTTTTAAAATATTTCAGCCAGCACTTATCAATAGATACCTATCAATTCAGGATTTCTTTGTGACTGTCATGCTGCCTTGAATAGCATTTTCAAATCAATCTTCACAATCACTAGGAAGCAAAATATTTTGCTGTGACTTTCTAATTGCAGCAAAAACCGTATTTGACTTGATAAAGGTTAAAAACTATATATATATATATTTTGCAATAGCTTTTTAAAGGGTAGTACTGTACCTCAGGCTACTTCAGGTTGGTTTTTATTCCCCACTTCCACTCCCTGAGCAAATTATAACTGGCTTCAGTTCAGAGCCCAAGATCGGCAAATTAAGCCTATTGCTAGAAACTCCCATGTGTCACAAGTTGTCTGTGGTATTAAGCAGCAGCTGTTGGATTCCCTGTCAAAGAACAGCTGAAAATAACACCGAAGTTCAGGTCAGAGGTCGGATGCAAACACACCACAGGCACTACTTCCAGAGCTGCTGGGACCACTGGAAATCTCTAGGACAAAGCCAGAATGCAGGATGTAGCCATAAACAGAGTTAAAAGGGTCTACTCAGCCCTTAGCTCAACTGAAAAGCATGTTCAGGTTCAGGTTTAGGGCTGATGTTTAGAACTCGGAATCAGCCCCATTACTTTATTTTGCTGAGGTTCATGATAATATTCTTGAGTGTGCATATGTGTGGGTGGGTACATATCTTGGGTGTTGAACAATTATTTTTGTTTCCAAGAGCATGTCATAGCCAGTCTGCCAGTCTGCAGTTGTGTAGACACAACCTTCACCTTCTGCTCCCAGCACCTGCCTGCTGCTCCAGTGAGATGGAAACCGCTCCTGCATCCCAGTTCTTCCGCCGAGTGAATTTTACCTGATGCCCAGAGGGCAGCAGTTGCCAAGGCATTCTGCAGCATAGAAAATCTTACGAATCATTCGTTTCATGGCAGCGCTGAGAACTTGCCGAGAGCCAGCTACCTCGGAATACCAAAGGGAGCTCCTCCACTAGAGCAAATATATGGTTGGTGCAAAAAGACCAAAACAAACTGATTGCATCCAATTTTTAGCTGATTAACCTCAAGAAAAAGCAGGAGTTGACACTTGTGTCACAGAATATCCACACCCGAAACTAAAATGCCCAAGGAGTATTGCTCAACTCATTATGTGCTTTGCCAACCAGGACAGCAAACAGTGGTCTGCACTTAGCATACCCAGTGACTTTCACCCTAAGTTAATCCTTATTGCTTAGAAACTATGGACACAGATTGCACAAAGGCCCTCAGGAGGGGGAAGGGATGTTTTGGCAACCAGTTACAAAGACCACAGGCTAAGTAAAGAGTGGCCCTATCCACAAAGCCCGGCTCAAGGAGGAGGATTGTGTAACGGCTGCAGAGGACAGCATGACACTTCTGAACTGACAGGCCCAGAGAGAGGGGAACAGAGAAGAGAAACCGAGGGGAGAGCATGTGGCTGAAAGTCTGGTTAATTCCAAGGTTTGAGGGCAAAGGAAACTGGAAATATTTAAGAATTTGTTAAAAGATTAATCCAGCTATTCAGCAGCAGAGGTAGTGCCCTTTGTGTGTACATATGACCTTTATTTCTGCTAATTAGATGGAGTAGGTCCAGGGTGTTGCATAAAGAAAATGTTTTCTACTTTGGTGGACATAAGCAGTAAAACAAGTTGTGTGTATGAATTTAAGTGGCTTCTAACGCTTTTTTTAAATTCAAATTCTTGGCTTTAAAACCTGCAACAGATCCAAGTCATTTTCCCTCCTCTTCTGTTGCTTTTCCCTCCCATTATGGCTCCTGCTTCACTTTTTAGTCCTCTCCTCCCCAGAAACTGTTGCTCAGATCTCTCCATATATTTTTCTTCATTTAGAATAATATTTAACAACAAATTGAGTTACTGACCCCAGTAAACCATTAGGAAAATAGCTAGTTTAGAATGTATTGTACTAAGGAAATTGGTACAGCATATTTAAATGGAATTTTAAAATGTGAAAATAGTAAAGGGTTTTTGAGTTACTTTATCCTCTGCCATCACACACACATACACACACACACACACACACACACACACACCCCAAAACAAAACAAACTTCTTAGAGGTATTCCCATACCTTTGAAGTTTAGAGAGGATCTCACACAGGTTATTATGTCTTCTCTGTTTATCCCTTTGGGAAATGCTTGTTTTTAGACAAAGTGAATTTCAGCAAAATATCCTCCATGGGGAATTACAAAGCTATGACTAAGTTCTGTAGAGTTTAAAGCCCCTCATTTTTTAATGAAATAGAGAGAGCTACTAATTTGAAGACTTTTTCGTGTGATCACTTTTCAGCTTCATCCAGAGCATGCCATTAAAATACCTCTTTGCTGAAGTGTATGCAGAGGCTGCTCCTGTTTCCACATAGAATTTATATTAACCAATACTACTGTTGGTTAAGCTGTGTTTCACTTTATAAAGACACATTAGGTAGACCTGATATAAATAACTCAGAATGAGTTTCTTCATTAAAAATTTAAGGCAAAGCTTTCCCTGCTATTATCCCTAGCAGTAGTAATAATAGCGACCATTTAGTGATTGATGATTATATGCCAGGAACTGGGATACATGCTTTACTTTTCATTGCACAGAATTCACATAATCAGGTTGGAGCAACTTATTTTCCTGATTTTGTAAATGAGATACATACATGCACCTACACATTCACACACAGTGATTAATTGATTCCAGCCATGTCTGGCCCCACTTTTCCGTCTGGGCTGAAAGCTATTCACGGGCTGGATCTTCTATACCTGCCCAGTTACATATATCATTATTTCCAGATCCTAAAGGTCATTTGTTTTTCACTTTAATTCAGGTATTTTATTCAGGAACCTCAGCACTCACTTCCCCTCATCTATCCAGATTGCTCCCAACTCAAAACCAAGAAAAACTACCAACATCTTTGAGAAGTTGAAATGCCATTCTATATTCCCTTTTCTTCAAAATTCAATAATTGCACGCTGATATTGGAAACTTATATTGCTTTCTAATTATTTCACTTCCGTGCATATTCTTTCTCGACTACATGTGAAGCTCTTTGTGGAGAAGAGCCATGTGCTAACTGGCTCTTCGTTTGGATCTTCTTTTGGATCTTTGCATGTCACCTGCTAGGGTTGTTGTGGAGATCGAAAGTTGTTTTGTGGAAAGTGCTTAGAAGAAGATCTGGCACCTAGTAAACCCATGAACCATGATACTAGGCATGGAGCTGGTGCTTGTAAACTCTGGAGGATGGATTGTTTTAATGCAACTCATTTATTCAGTATTTATTCTCATATCCACAGTTATTGCGCATTGCTCTAAACAATTAAGCATTAAGAATATAGAAGTGTGGGGCTGGGGATTTAGCTCAGCGGCAAAGTGCCTGCCC